TTTTTGTTCTTATTCATTATGCTTATAAGTTAATATGCTAGTTTGAATGATTGATCACCATTTAGGCTTGCATGTTAGCTATCTTGGTTTGAATTAAGAGTAGACGCCATGCTTTAATTCGAATTGAACTATGAATAAGAAGAGTATGTATGGACATTTGACAACAGGGATTAGATACATGCTTGGTTGTTTAAATTGTTCTTCTATGCTTAATGGGTTCCTAATGCTTAGTTTTAGGTTAGACAACAAATGATCAAATTAGGGAATTAGGAACACAAGGTTATGACCAAACACCATGGCTTAATCATACTTTAGCTAGAATCAATCCGTTAATCTAATTGAACTTGGGAACTTATTTGCTTGAGTTATTTTTTTTTTTTCTTGTTTTATTTATTTCCTTTTTCATTTCTATTTTGTGTAAGGAAAACAAATTGGATCATTCAATCACCAATCCTCGTGGGATCGACCTCGCACTTACATATGCTATACTACCAAACGGCTCGTGCACTTGCGAGTATCACAAGTTGAGGATGCAGCTGAATCTATTTTGGTGCAGCTGAATCGAAGCAACACTAACTCAAGAAGATTTTTAGTTACCCTGATAGCATCATAGTCTTCTGAAACACAAGCCCAAGCTTTAAGTGTAAAATGCCCTTTCACCTTATCATCATTGTAAAGCATGCGGGCAAGGGTTGTCTTGCCAACCCCGCCCATTCCAACAATAGTGATGACGGACACATCTTCCTTGCTTGCATCATCAGAGAACAACACTTTTGATAAATTTTCTTTGACTTCTTCTCTACCATATACATAAGGTTCATTAATTGTTGGAGTTCTTTGTGAAACCTTCCTCCCAACAACTTCTGTCAAACCAAGAGCACCTTTCAGTTGTACAAAGTCTTCTAGTTTTCGTAACAACTCCTGTATCTTAACATTCATGCTTTGATAAAACTTATTACGAGAAGTAGGGAGGAAGTTCCACACCTTGTTGGTAAATTTGTCCGCTGTTTGAGCTTCACCTTCGATCTTGCATCGCAAAGCTTCATAGTTGATCTCATCCAGCAAGTCCTCAGCATCAAAGACTGCATGTTTGAGGTCGTCAAGCCACTCTCTCACAACTGGTTTCTCAATTTGCTTCTCCTCTGCATCATCGAGCACTGCGTTCAAGGTCAACAGGGTCCTCTTCAGTTTCATGAGGAGAGGTTGATCGAGTTTCTTGTGCCGAAATAAGTCGATGAACTCGGGTGAAGCAATTCTGTCACAAATCACCTGGATGGAAGCAGAAATAAAGGCCTCTCCGATCAAAGCTCCAGCCATTTTTCTCTTCTTTTCTTTGCAAGGGAATTGGATGAAGCAATTCTTTTCTCAGCTAGCACAACTTGGAAATACAGGTAAGGCAGTATGAAAGCTTTTGTGATTGTAATTATATATTATGTATTTAACAAGTACCGTTTGTTTGGCTGTCTTGTCAGTGCTCGAGTTTTTTAGCGCAAGTGATGATAAGTTAAATTATTTTTTAAAAATGTCTTTCTCTGGGATGACAAGTTTTTTAAACTTTTCTTTGCCCTCACATGGGGATGGATCGTCATTACCATTAATTAATTCAAATTGGAGGCTGGGGGATGACAAGACAACAACGACAATTCAACGGTCCTCAAGTGGACCAGACTCGAATGCCGTTGATCTCTTTGTGAATCTACGGCTGTTAACAAATTTCAAAAGGTAAGGCTGTATGAAAGCTTTTTGTTATTGTAATCCGTAATGGAAAAAGCCCGTATTATATATTTTCCGTTGGGTGGCTGAGACTGTGACTATTCTATTGGGGGGACAGAGTTTCCCCTGCTGTGGTTATGCTCATCTTGACGGAAAATATATCAATTTATTCATGCCCTTTGATGGACTAAAAAGTGGGGTTGCTTTGAACAATATTGTTGAGTTTTTAATATGAGTCATACGAAGGACTTGAGAAATATGTTACCATGATGTTGAACTTATTGACTAATTTTCCTTTTTTATTTATTATGTATCTGTGGGAGAAGATAATTGATCAAAATTACACGCAAAAAGAGATTGATGAAATGTGTGGTGAAGGAGCACAATTTCTAAGGGGGTTATACATAGACCTTGGAAGTGAGTTTTATGGGTAACTTAGAAGAATTCTTTCGTATTTTGGTTAACTTGAGGACAAAAATTTATGCTCAACAGATGCTTGTGATGAATTCTTTTGTATTTTTAGAGCATATAAACCTACAAATACTATTACAAAAGATATTACCACTTAGATGACGGTAACGAAATTATACTATCGTCTAATTATCATTAAGACGACAAAAAATAACAAATCGAGGACGGTGATCCACTGTCGTCTGAATTAATAAATAGACAATAGTGATCTTGTAAAACCGTCGTCTAAATTGTTAACAGATAACGATAAATCACCGTCGTCTAAAGTGTCACAATACATAGGTGGACTACCGCCGTCTACAGCCTTTGTTTTCTAGTTAATAGCATAAAATAATGGTGAAGGGGTATTAAATCAGATATGATGCAGTGGCTAATGTATGATAATATAAGACTAGAGTAATAAACATGATGCATGGGGTGGCCGTAGTAAAGTGGTAGCTTTTTTTTTTTTTTTAGGGTAGCATAGCACGTCATTTAACCTTTAATATATAATAACCAATCAAAAGATGCTTAAAGTTGAAAACCTTGAAGTATTTTCATATTAGGTCAGTACATGCATTTGAAAGTTGTCAGATGAGAGAGAGAAATAATTTTGCTTGGCATGTTATTTATTTATTTATTTTGTTGTTTGGCCTGTTATGAAGTCTGACAATCACATGATTTTTTATATTTTTATATTTGCATTGGATGCTTTTTTCTTTTTTTCTTTTTTTTTCTTTTTATTGATGGCTTGCTTTGTAATTGTAGCCGTTTTTTTCTTTTTTATTGGTGACCTTCCTTCTCAACAGAGGACCAGCCGGTCATGGAGATTGAGGAGCGCCATGAGCAGCTGGCCACAGTACAGTTTGGTGTAATTATCACTTCACGTGATGGATACTATCGAAAACACCACTTGATAAACTTTTTGACCGGATTGCATATTTGTGTCAAATTTTCCAGGTTAATGGGTTGAGGGTCCACTCCAACAACACCGATATTGTCCCCACTTAACCACCTGCACAATCCTCATGTGTGAGGTTTTATCACAAAAGGCCTCGGTGTTAGTTAGAGAGAGGTATTTCTATTTAAACTACTTTCTCTTTGGTCCTTTTCACTCCCCCTCTACATAAATTTCAAGGAGAACACAAGCACATGTCACAAGAAAACCTAGGCTCTTATACCATGTCAAACAAAGTAGAGTAAATATTCAGTTATGCTAAGATACACTCATATTATTATTCTTCTCCAATATGGAGGTATTTATACAAGTACAAAGAGGTGTTAACCCTAAATAAAATAGGAAATATATCTAAATTACAATAGGAAGTAAATCTCTATTACAATATGACTAAATAATAATTGGTAAGTAACCAAAATTCTAATGAAATAAGGAACCAAAATCCTAACTAAGTAAGGACTTGCCAACAATTTGGCATGACAACATATAATATTTTATAATGAAATCATTAAAGGAAGAAATATCTTATCTTTTGCATCGCACTCCACGCCATGGTGGAGACAGTAGCTTGCGCATCTCTCCCAATTTTTTTTTTCTTCACTATTGCCTTTGGTCTGCCGCGTTTCATTTCTTTGTTGTAGTATCCTGGCACTAGGCCTGGAAATAAAGCCCAGGCCTGATGGGCTAGCCCGAATCCGGCTCGATTTTTTGATGTGTGGGCTTACCCGGCCCGAAGGCTTAAATGTAGGGCTTGGGCTTCATTTCTAAGCCCTTTAAAAGCCCAGCCCGGCCCGATTATAATTAATTAATTAATTTAATTATAATTATATTATATGATAGTATATTTTTATATTTCTATCCGCTAGACAAGTTTGTTTTGAACAACTTTTTTTGTTTTTGGTGAGAAGTTTGGAACAACATTGTCTGCCAACTTGTCTTAAAAGTACAAACTTTGTTTTGAACAAAAGTTGGTAAAGCAACTTTTCTTTGTTGAAAGTCGGAAGTTGAAAGAAATAAGGGCATCCAATCCAAGGCAGACAACGGGTAGTGGGAGGCCATAAAGAAGTGGAAATGAGTTGAATAAAGCATAAAATAATGGCCCATTTCATAGGGCTAAATAGGCCCGATCATAAGCCCGAAAATGTTAGGCCCATGGGTAGGGCCTGGGCTTTGTATATTTGACATAGGGCTGGCCCGGCCCGGCCCGATCACTCCTTAGGGCTGAAAAAGCCCGTTACTAATTAGGGCTTGGGCTCACACCTCTTAGGGCCGGGCCAGGCCCGGCCCATTTTCCAGGACTAATCCACAACATATGTTATATGGTTAAATTTTGGGATAACGTCAGCCCTCGAATTTTATTTATTTATTTTTGCAATAAAATAATGAAAAAAATTTGAAATTTTTTATTAAAAAAATTAATGAATTTTTTTCTATAAATACCAACCAATACTCTTCACTTTTAACACCAAATTCTTATACATTTTCTTCTCCTTCAACTATTATTCACTTTCTACTCAATATTTTTTTCACTTTCTACCCAAAAATCTTATCCGAAAATCTTATCCAAATTAATTGTTTAGGTAAAAAAATTTGTAAAAAAAAAAAGAAAAAAAAAAAGAATAGTATTTGTCATTTGTCATGGCAACGGATGGAAACACACATTGCTTTTTGCAATGGCAGCCACTATTCACGTGAATAGTAGCTGCCCTAGCCTCCCCCCCTTGCCATGGCAAAGGGCAAACTGGTGGAAGTGCTCTAAGAGATACGGGGATGAGCAAGTGTTTTGTCAGCGGAGCTAGAATTGTAAAGTTGGAGGGACTGAAGTAGAAAATACAAATATATAAAATATCTAAATATTCAATAATTACATATTTATAGCTAAATATTTCTAATTGAGTCATGTCTAATTTGTTTTAGAGAAAATTTTAACATAATTTATAAGTTGTTTATTACAAATTTTACATATTATAATAGAGGAGGGATAAAAATCTAGGGGGCCAGGGCCACTCCAAGTCTAGGAGTGGCTCCGCCACTAGTTCCGTCTCTCTTTTGTTTGTTCAAATTTATTACGAGAGAATATTCATGTGTAGATTCTTCATTCTTTGAGCTTCCTTATCTCTTTTTCTAGGTTCTTGCGAAATAAATAGAAGTAAAAGATCACACTCATGGGGTGTTGGCTAAAGACCCTCTGATGCCTAAGTTAGTTCAATTGGATATTAAAAAAAGATGAGGCAATAGCTAAAAAGGATGGAGTTTTCTCTCAAGGGGAGAGCTGGGTGGCCGGAGTCGTGTGTGGTTGTGCTTAGCCTTGTAAGGAGAGAGAGAGAGAGAGAGAGAGAGAGAGGTTTTAGAACTAGGTTTAGGATTACCTTGAATATCTTGTGTGTGTATGTATTTATAGCTTCCTTGTGTGCTAGGGTTTTGGGAGAATAATTCTTTTTTGGTTAGGATTATTCTTCCCAAAAAGATAATATGAATTACTCCAAAATATTTGGTGGAGATTGGTTCCTTGATTTAGGGAGATATTCATATCTTAAATCAAAGATAATTTCCCGAATTAAAAAGGAATTAATTAGGGTAATTAGTTTGACCTAAGGAATATTCATTTTCCACATGTCGTCTTCGTATTGCGTACGACTGTCTGTTTAGGGCTTTCTGTTTCGAGTGTTTTATTGTTTCGTTTTTTTTATTTGTTTGTTTTTTTTGTAATTTTTATTTTGTAATTATTTTATTTTTGTATTTTAATTCTTGTGTGTTTTGTGATTTTATTTTTACTTTAGTACCTTTCATTTCCTGTTATGACATTGTTTGTTCCTAATTTTTAAATATTGAGGACAATGTTCATATCTAGGTTTGGGGGTATTGGAGTTTAACAAGTAAATTTGGTTTTTCTTAAAATAAAAATTAATTTCTTGCATGTTTTTCTTTTTTTCTATATTTTGAGTCTTGTTTTGTTTTGAGTCACTTTCCGAACACTTATGATGAGATTGTGATAAATGTTTGCATGACTTAAATGAAAATTGAATTTTATTTATTTTTCCTTGTAAATTTTTATTGTAAAAAAAAAAAAAATTAATTAATTTGGCATCGTTCTAGCATGATATGTTCGAAACCTTTGCACTTGCCATTTGTTTCATAATTTTCCAATTAAAGGATTTGCATGACCCAAAGAATTGTATCAAGCATAAATTAGACTTACATAACCATATAAAGTGAGCTTTTGAGCCTTGT